TCCCCCCCCCCCCCCCCAACAGTAGCACACTAAGACATTCAGCTTGTTGTCCATTATAACCCCAAGTCCTTTTCTGTAATGGCCAAGTCAGTCATTCCCCAGTGCTTGCATTTAATTGTTCTGACCCAAGTGTAAGCTCTTTACACTTGTCCTTATTGAATTAAGTTCAATAACCTTGGACCCTTTCTCCAAGTTATCAAGTACCCCTGACACGCATTACATTTATTGTGCAATTAATGTTTCAGTTGCATATTCAATGTTAACATGCCATATACTTAACTTATGTATCCTGCAGTTAAAATGTCAAACCAGCCACAACTGTACAGTTGGTCCAGTGAAAAATAGCACAAAAAATCCATGTTGCAGAAATGTTCAAACTAAAGCATGATGCAAACTTTTTACACAACATGTGGGCCCAGCTCAGGAGCTGTTCCAGGTTGTCTGCAAGTCCATTTGAGCTTCCCAATTCACAGGGGGCCCAGTGCCAGGGAGCCATCTCTGAAGCCTGGCTGTATGTACACCTCTCTAAGTTTCTAACTAGAGGTGCACCGATATAATCAGTGCTGATCTGATATGGGACCGATGTACAGGAAATTGAGAGTATCAGCTTTGGTGAATTTTTTTTTTTTTTTTGTTTTTGTTTTTTTTTTTTTGGGCTGATTTAATATCACCTATTTTTAAATGCCCCGTGCATGTGCACAGCTGCAGCGCAGCACACAGGTGGCCAGGAGCAGAGCCCAGCAGCATGGAGGGCAGCCGGGTCGGGCTGGTAAGTCTGTGACGAGCTGCTCGCGGCTCTGTTCTGCGCCCTGCTTTGGCTGCAGTGTCTGCCCCTGCCTCTGCCCCAGCCCCACACCCTCCATCGCTGCCTTCACCCCTTCCTCCACAACAGACTTACCAGCCCCACACTGCTCTCCAAGCTGCCCGACCTGCATATCAGCAATCGGCTCAGTACCAGCCAATATGGCTTGTTTAAAAATCAGCTATTGGTGTTGGCCCCCCAAAATCTCTATTGGTGCACCCCTAGTTCTAACGCACAGGGAGTGGGTCCCAGTCCTGGGCTCCCCATGTGCTGGCAAGTTTAAAGCTGTACTTTTGTATCCCAGCATGAAGGACTGGTTCCCTGATGCTGGGCTGCCTAACACTGCTTTAGAGCTCTGAGAAAGCTGTAGCATCTGAGATTTATCCCACATCCCAAAAATTGCATGCCCTGCTATGCCAGCTCTTGAATGTCTGGCATGGCAGGATACACAACTTTGGGGATTCTGTGTAAAATGCAGTGGGATCAGAGGAATGTCTAAATTAACGTCTGCCAGGGGCCAAAGTCATTTTGATTCCTAATCCTATCTTTCAAAATGCTGCTGCTCCCCGTGGGCTGCTGTCTCTGCAAATTTTTCCTCTCATAAAGAATTCAAGCATGAGCTCTCCTGTGCTGCCATCCATTGTCTTATGCAGCAGTTACAGCAGATTCTTAGTCCTTCTCAAAACCCCTTAGTACAGCAGTCTTGCTTCATCAGAATTACCAAGGCTCAAATGCAATAGGATTTTCTTAATAAAATTACTACAGGAAACTGCTTACTGTGCTTACTCCTATTTGACCCTGGTAACGGAATAATATATCTGGATCCTGGGTTATTACCAGAA